GTGTGTGTGTGTGTGTGTGTGTGTGTGTGTGTGAGAGAGAGAGAGAGAGAGAGAGAGAGAGAGAGAGAGAGAGAGAGAGAGAGAGAGAGAGATTGAACCTTGAAATGAAGGTGCACGACAAAGCTGATCTGCTAAATTAGGCCAAGTTAACCAGCAGCTGACGACAAATAAGAGAATCGAATGGTCACAGACGGAGGACGAATGGAGGTGGGGGGTGGGGGGGTGGGGGGTGTATCATCTCTCTGGTATTTCTTTGTGTGTGAGTGAAAGCGGGTGAAAAAAAAAAAAAGAAAAAAAAAAAAGAGGCTTAACCCACAGGCTACTTTCAGATCGGCGGGGCGGTTTTCTGGCCCTCGAGAATTTGCAACTGGAAGTGCAGTTTCAAGTCGCCTTGGCGATTCGTTGAGAAGCATCTTTTTAATTTTTTTCCCCTTTCTCATCTGGTTCCATCTGGATTCGAACTGAGGTCTTTATTTTTTCAACATCTGGTTCCATCTGGTTCCATCTGGATGTACCAACTCAGCTGGGCCAGTTGGTCGAAGCATCTTTTTTTCTCTATTTCCGTGAGGACCTCTTTTCCTGGCATGAAACGAGAGTGGAAGGCAACCATCCTCACCCATTGATGTTCGTCGATTCTCAGTTGATCGCAGGGCAATCGACGACCAGGACCTGTTCCCTGCTGCTCCTTAACACGCAAATTCAAGGGAGATTAAATCCCCCTCTCGCCTTCCCTCTCCCCGCACCCTTCTACCGTCCATTGACTTTCGTGAATCTCACTTGTTCTCTCAGTGTCATCGACGACCAGGAGGGTCCTCTGTCCTTCTGTTACTCAAACAGAAATCCAAGAGAGATCCCAATCCCACTCCCTACTCGCATCCCTCCCGCCCTCATCCTGTCTCTTATACACATCTAGATGTGTATAAGAGACAGGCCCAAACCCCCCCCCCCCCCATAGCCCAACCCACCCCCCCCTCCACAGCCGCCTCCAGCAACCCCCCCCCCCCCACCTCCTCCAGAGGTAGTTCTTGTACTAAAGACTTAGGGGCAGGGCTCACTGAGCTATGCTCGTGTCTCGATTGTCAAATCCAACGGCCAATGTTTTGAGTTCGGTTTTGTCATCGGTTGTGACCTTCTGAATACCTAGAGAGAGAATATGTTATAGATAAATAAACCCCGAGAGACCCGAAGAGAGGGAATAGGCGGAGTTAAATGGGGCTTGCTCTTCAAGGCCAAGGCCTGTCCGATGCTGTCGCCTGCTACAAAGAAATATAAACCTCAAGAGAGAGAATGGGTGACAGAGAAAGCGTTAAGATTTTCACAGCAGAAGCGATTGACAGAGCCCTAAAAAACTTTCAGGAATTTTTTTTCCCATAGTGTTTCTGACACAGAACTCCCACCACACCTGTCACCAGTCGATAGAGTGGACAACACGTAAACCAACATAAAAAAAAAAAAACAATAAGTGAAAAAAAAAAGACGAGAGTAAAACCCTAAGGCATAAATGTGTTTTCATGCAAAATTCACCCTAGCGACACAAGACAAAGCAGAGAAGACAGGGGCACTCCAAAGAGGACAGACAGATCATCCATCTTGAACAAGAACGGAGCACCGCAAAACCATGCTTAAACCACCAGTACTTGGCCCAGCTATCGGCCGCGGGCCTTCCCGTATACGCAGCCTTAGGTCGGTCGGCCAAGGGAAGGCCCGGTCGCTGCTGAATGGCCGGCCCCGGGTTCACTCGGAAAGTCCACAATGAAACAACAAAGAAAGAAAAAAAAATTCAAATACACAGAAATTAAAAAAGAAAGAAAACGAAATGTAAAAAACAAAGTCGAGAGAGAGAGAGAGAGAGAGAGAGAGAGAGAGAGAGAGAGAGAGAGAGAGATAGAGAGAGGGGCAGCGGCCTGCACGGAGGGCGGCGGCGAATTCGCCGCCCCTCTCTCTCTCTCTCTCTCTCTCTCTCTCGTTCGTTTCGGAAAACGAAAACGAGAGTGAATCTTCCGCTAGAACATGGAAAGATACACCGCCTTGATTATTGTCTTTTGTGCATGTAACGAAAACGAGAGTGAATCTTCCGCTAGAACATGGAAAGATACACCGCCTTGATTATTGTCTTTTGTGCATGTCGAGGAGTTAGTAACCGCTTTTTGAATTATTTTTTCCGTGTTATTTAGAGTAAATCCCGTTTTTCTGTCGTTGCTTTTGCATTTTGTGTTTTCTTTTTTTTTTCCTGTTCTTTATTCCGTGTTCTTCTCCAAGCACGTTCGGGAAGTTAACCCCCGGTAGTTCGAGCCTCAGCAAGGCTCGGCATACTGGTCGGCCGAGGCTCGGACTTGATAGCTGGGCCAAGTACTGGTGTTTTAAACCACCAGTACGTTTCCCAGCCATTTTTTCAAAGTTGCATGCATGCAGCCACCTCAGCCGCTTCGACTTTTTTGGGGGGGGCTCGGCCGCCGGAGCGAAATGGCGGGCGGAGCCAGCCAAAAGGAGGCCCGCCCAGTTCGTGTTTCTTTCGTGCTTCTTTCGTGCGTAGGGGGGTTACAACCTGGAGGCAAATGACTCGTGGAAGTTCTTTTGGGGGGGGGGG